AGGTCCATTCGAATGGCCATTTGTTTGGCTTAGTTTGCCTAGGATCTGGGGTAAGGGTGCTCCAGGCAAGGGACACTTGTCATTATTTGTCAGAGTCCTGGCATTAGAGAGTCTAATAAATTTATGCTTTGGCTTTAGACAGTATCAAATTACAAGGCGAAGATGAGCATTAATTTCAATTAGAAGTTGCACGCAAGCGAGACACATACACGCACTCGCTCTGTCTCCCTCACACACATACACGCTGTAAATCACAGCAAAGGCTGCCCAGCGGGCGGGCTGTGCAGGGGCGTGGCGAAAGAAACTGTCACTGATTACACGCTGCGTTTAGTTTGACTTTTATTTTTATTTTAGTTAAGCTACTCAAACACACTCACACACTCTCACACACACACACAGATAAAGGCGCGCGCGAGGTATGGCGTGTGCGAGCAAGACAGCGTTAGTTTTTGCGCACTTTTTGCTTTTCACTTCGCTTTCACGTGCCACGTGCGTCGGCGACGAACGCAGAACGTTGAATGTCGCACAGAAGCTTCGCTGTTTCCCACGCAACCAGCACTGGAAGCTGCGTAACTGTCACTATGCTCGAGTGTATGTGTGAGTGTGTGTGTGTGAGCGACGCCGTTCCAGCTCTGCTGTAGCTGAAGTCGCTTCCAATGCGGATTGTTTATGCTAACAGCACGCGGTGCGCTGCTTGGCGTTGCTCCTACAGTTACTTTTTATGCATTGCTTTTGCTTTTATTTTGCTATTGCATTTTCAACTTTATGCGCTGCTAGTTTCTTTCTGCCTGCAACTCACGAATTTGCCTTTAACTTTGCGTTTTTCGCACGTTACGTATACGCCGCGTGCGCCGCGGTCGTGCAACATGCAGCGTGGTGCCTTCGCAGACGACTGCGGCCAACACTCACGCTTCCAGCGGGCCAAAGCAAAAGCAAAGCAACGCAAAGCAAATGCGCAGAAGCTACTCACATACAGTTAGCCGGCAAAAGTTGCTTTTCCGCGTATAACAGTTGTTGTAAACAAAACGTCATCAAATTATCTATGTGTGTGAGTGTGCGTGTATGTGTGTGTAAACAAATCACAGACTGGGGGCACATTTACAGTTGTCGCAGTTCTCAACATTTGCGACACTTTCCAACTGTTTTTTCTTTTTTTTTGCGGTCAATTTGCAACAATTCAATTTTATGAGCGCTTGTTAATTATCGCTTGGGCCTTGTTCAGCTAATTGTTGTGGCTTTTTATTAGCCCTTCTGTGGCAGGTCACCCCAAATTTGTGGGTCTAAATGGTCTAGAAGTTGAGAATAAATTAAACTGAATATTTAAAAATGATTATAAAAATGAAGTGGAATTCAGGTTACAGAATATTTTTTTATTTGCAATCTGAATATTATGATATTCAGCTTATGTTAAGAAAGATTGCATAACGCAAAGCAAAAGGCTGCTATGCTGATGATCTAAGAAACATGCCTACAATGTTGCTGCAACAAAAGTTCGTTGTTGTTTTAAGATCAGGTTTGAGACTATAATAGAAAAGCTAGCAACACAACTGAATGTAATCTAAACATTACCGAAATGTATCTGTAACATAAGCTGACAACCCAGCCAAACCAGATTATGCCTTAAGAAATATACTTAAAGTGTTGCTGCAGTATAAGCTAGCAACATTACTATGCTGCTACAACATAGCCTAGCAACATCTAAATGGCGCAAAGCAAAACAGCATGTTGCTAACATGCTACAACTTTAAAATGTTGCGGTAAACTTATCTAGCAACAAAGTGATTGCGTTTGATTCTTAAACTATACAAAAGTAATTTTTTATAAATATTATTCTTAAAGTTTTGTTTCAAGCCAATTTTAAATTAAATTATCAGCATAAGAGCATAGCAACATGTTGCTAGCGCACTAGACCACTAACCAGATCCGCGTTCTGCAGACACATACTCCGAAAACATTCTTATTTCTAGTATGTATGTTAACTAACAGGACATGTTAACTAACAGATAATACAACATATTCAGACAAATACGCACACCAACCAACACAGTTACTGCAGATCAATAGCTGTTAAGAGCGCAGGTCAACAAAGCACCAACAACAATAGCAACTACAACAAAATGCCAAATGCCCAAACAAAACGGCAAAGTAAAGAAAAGTCAAACTAGCGTTAGCAAAGTCACTGGAAGGCAAAGCCACACGAAACTGTGCTACGATTGCTCAAACTGTTCTATGCCCGATGAGCGTAAGCTCTCTCTAGAAAGTGAGAACGAGTGCGAGCGACACTCTCGCGTGGCCTGCTTTGCCAGATGCAAAAAAAAAAAAACAAGCCCAACCAATGCGAAGACAACAACAAAGCGACGCTATGGAAATGATGACGTAAATTGAAAGCCAGCTACAACAACAGCAGCAAGAAATTCTATTTGCATTGTTCTTGTGTCTGTCCATTTGTTCGCTTCCAACATTTGTCTGTCTGCCACGCAATGTGCTCAGGTGTTTTAGTTGGGAAAGGCGGCATGGGCCGTCGCTTGTTTGTCGAGCATTTGTCGATGCGAGCAAGTGCACTTCACAGATACATAGATACATACGCACACACCGATACTCACATGCACACTTATACAGATACGCTGGTATTCGACCAGTTGCCAGCCCATTTCTAATGACATTTGCTTCGTTGTTTCGCGGGCGCTTTTAACGACTCACTGACAATGCTACTATTTCCGCTTAAATGCGTTCGCAGCGACTCTTTTTGAGATGGGCGCGTGTCGTGACACGAGCAATTAGTGTTTGCATATTAATTAACAGGCAAATCAAGGCTAGGGCTAATGAATCATAAAAGCATAGAGCTAAAAATAACTTCAAAGCTTTCTTGGCAGACTTTGCGCTATTCCTAATTGAATTGTACACTAAAAATAGTTCAATGTAAGCAAGCGCGTATGATAAGCGCCTCAGTTGTTAACTTAAACATTCATTCAACTTAGGTAACAATTTTTATATAAAATTGTAGTAAATTTATATCAAATCGTTGAAAATATTTTTTTATGTTTTTTTAGGTTTCCTTTACATAATATATGTATATAATATATACATGTATATATATAAAATTTTTTAATTTATATGTAATTTTTATATATAAATTTTTAAAAATTATTTTTAATTATTGTTATCTAAATTTTTAATATTTGTGACGTGTTTAAATGTAAATTAAATTTTCATAGTTACAAATATCCTGCAATATAAGTAAAATATTTGTAATGGCTTTTAAATTTTTTTTTTTTTATATATATTGACGACTTTTTATTTTTTTATATAATATTTTAAAAATGTATTCAAATATAATAATATTAATTTTCATTTCTATAAATATTGTGCAATATTTAGTGTTTGTGGTATATTTCTATCGATATCAATTCTATTCACGATCCCATCTCTTTTACTTAACGGCATTTGCTTTGGTCCACGTCACAATTTCTGCTGGTCGCACAGTTTATTTTTTTTTTCAATCTTCTTTTGGTTCACTATGCAGCAGCCCGCAACCTGCAGTTGGTTTATTTGTTTCGCCTGTTTGTTTGCTGTGTGTGTCCTTCGCAGTAAATCCACTCACAGACACACATACACACACGCACACAGAGGGAGACAGACACACATATGTATACCCTAGCGCGTGTCTCATATTTCGTTGTGTGCGTCCTTAAAAACTTTTGCACTTTGTGCTCAATTTGGCTTTTTTGTTGCGTTTTGCTTTTCTATTTCTATTTTTAGGCCGCACAGCTCGTTGCACACACATATACACACTTGCTAAGGTTAATGTTTTTTCTTGGCCAAAACACGTTGGCACTGAAGAAACTGCGATATCAATCATACGCCATGTGTTCGCTGGGCCCTACTAAACGCATAAATTAATCAAGTATAGGACACAACTAAACGAAAGTGAGACAGAAAGAGAAAGGCAGTGAAGGAGCGAAAGAGCGCGCAGATATCAAACCTCTGCTTCTTCTCTCATTGGCATTGTCCAAGTTTGTTGACGTCCCCGTTCACAGACAGCCATTGACGTCACAGACTGCACATGCACATCACACATACGCCGCGTGTGTGTGTTTCGGTGGGTGTGTAAAGCAGCAGCTGCTGCATGCCACCGATTGTCGCACTGCAATGATGCCACAGCCAAGTAGCAAGCAGCAAGCATATTCCCCTGACCTTACTCAAAATTGTTTACACTTATCTTTGGCAAATGTTTGCACAAAACTTTTGCCCAATCGCCAATTTGAACAAAAGGCAAAAAACTTTTTCATAAATGAACCTTTTGTGAGGCTCAAAATTGCTTTTAGAATATTAATTAAAGTTCGTAAGGAATTTAGCTAAATGTACAAATCCAATATTTACCTACAGAGCAATAAATTGCAGATTTTATTTGCTACATTGGAGCATAAAAATATAGAAAACAAAGCAGCTTCAACTTTCAAATTGATTTCACAATTTTTTTATAATTTAATTGAAGAGACCAAACTGCTGAATTCATAAGATCTGCTAGTTTAATAACTGAAATATTTACAAAAAAAATAATGAAAACTGAACATTTTTTCGGATTTTTATGTTGATAAATATATTAGGCAAATATATGTAAATTTTTGATATTTTATTGAAATTAAATGAATGTTTTAGTATCATTTGTTATCAATAAAATTATTAAAATTTAATTATTGCTCAAAAAGCGATATTTTTTAAATAAAGATAATAAAAATGCCGAAATAAAATATATATATTTTTGTTTTATAATTCGACGATCTCTTCTAATGAGAAATAAAATAAATAAGCGGTCAATCGAATGTTGATCTTTCAAAAATGTGTCAAGTCGAGATGGATTAGTTCTATATATAGTAGCAGTACGTATTTAGGGAAGCGCTGTAACTGCTAATTTGCTTACGACTAAGACACTTATTGGGTTTCTTCTATTCGACAGCAAATGAGGGCCAAATGCTGCGCGTCAGTTGGCTTCAGTGCTTTGCACAGCACAGTTTACTATACGGAATATAGTTTCTGGTCCTTTATTTTCGCGATCCTTTAAGAAATGGCTGCTGCAGCTGTGGCTACGCCCGGTGCTACGGTGCTACCTTCGAGCACTGCTGCAGCGGGTCCTGCACCACTGAAGGTGCCCGCGGCAGCAGGCAAGGTACCACTGAATCTGGTAGAAATCGCCGGTGAGGCCAACATTGTGAACTACATGAAGAATCGATTGCGCAAGGGAGCGATGAAGCGCAAGGGTCTGGAGATTGTGAACGGACATCACTTTGCGGTGCGCTTCTTTAAGCAGCCCACTTACTGTGGCCACTGCAAGGACTTCATCTGGTAAGTGAGCCACCGTCCAAGGAACCACAGCCCCAACCACAACAACGACAAGCGAAGCACAATCAGAGCAACCACAACGACAGCCACGACCCATTTAGCCCTGACTCTACGATTGTGCAAGGTTTTATGTCGGTTATATTCCCTATGAAAATGCATGAGTGAGGGTATAAGGATATCCTTTCAATAAACTGAACTTGTCTTTTAGTTTATTAGAATATTTGAAATTTTTATGCTTTCTTATTTCTAAATAATAATATTTCCTGAATATTGATAAAAGTTTCAATTTAAGGACTTTTACCTTAACTTTTAGTTAAGCCAATTTTATTGTGAAAATTATAATTAAATAGAATCAGGCTCAATGTTAAGTTTTTTTCCTGACTATCAAAGTTAAAATACAAATTCAATTGAGACCAAAAATCATGAAAATAAACTTTTAAAGTATTAAAAAATCTAAGTAATTTTGGAATTTAAAAATAGCCAAATTTATGAATATTTATTTTTGGACATGAAATCGATTAAAAAATCAATTTTAAAGAATCTAAATGCAAAATTAAAAAATAAAATAAGTAATACTAAACTAAAATTAATTAAAAATAAAGCTAAAATTTTGCCGTAAAAATAAATCGATTGAGTTGAGCTTGGAATAAATTTTTAGAGCTCAGTTTATCTCACTAAAGAATTTTTGAAAATAATTCTCAGCTGCAGGGTATCAGCTAGTCATTAGAACACTTGAACTTTTTGCTGCTGTTGTTGTTTTTGTTGTTGCAGGCGATGCATCGCCTAATTAAATTAGCGCTCTGTAAGTTGACACGTTTTGTTGGTTTCTTTGCATTGTTGCATGCACCGCAAAAACGGCGCCGGATTTCAGGGGCTTTGGCAAGCAAGGTTTTCAGTGCGAGGGTAGGTTGTAATGTTAATCTATGAATATCGCAATCTTTTGAGCTGCAATTGTTGCACAGAATGTCGCTTTAATATACATCAGAAGTGCTGCAAGTTTGTGGTCTTCAAATGTCCTGGCAAGGACACCGACTTCGATGCCGACTGCGCGAAGGTGAAGCATGGCTGGATCTCCACCACCTACACCACGCCCACATTTTGTGATGAGTGCGGCATGCTGTTGCACGGCGTTGCCCATCAGGGCGTCAAGTGTGAGAGTGAGTGCGAATTAGATGATGATCCATATTGCTTCGCTTACGACTTGTTGCCCTTGCAGACTGCAATCTGAATGTGCATCATCAGTGCCAAGAGCAAGTGCCGCCCATGTGCGGAGCGGACATTAGCGAAGTGCGCGGCAAGCTGCTGCTCTACGTGGAGCTCAAGGGCAACAACCTCAAGGTGGAGAGTGAGTAGCTACTTGAAGAAGAATTATATATTCACTTCACCTACATATCTCTATTCACACTAGTCAAAGAGGCAGCTAATCTTATACCCATGGACACCAATGGATTTAGCGATCCTTACATAGCCGTGCAAATGCATCCTGATCGCTCTGGACGCACTAAGAAGAAGACCAAGACCATACAGAAGAATCTCAACCCGGTGTTTAATGAGACAATAACTTTGTGAGCAATTTGGAGTTGTTACAACGATAATTCCTATAGCTCCTTTTTGACAGTGAGCTTCAGCCACAGGACAGGGATAAACGTCTGCTGATTGAGGTCTGGGATTGGGATCGCACGTCACGCAACGATTTCATGGGATCGTTCTCATTTAGTCTGGAGGAGCTGCAGAAGGAGCCCATTGACGGCTGGTACAAGTTTCTCTCTCAGGTCGAGGGCGAGCACTACAACATACCCTGCGTGGATGTCATCAACGATATGGCACGTTTGCGGGATGAAGTGCAGGTGAGTGAGTCCCACTTGCGATTCCTTCCCTTCACTTAGAGAAGTCCCGTCAACTCCAGCACGAGCGTAAGCCCAATGAAAAGCGACGCATGGACAACAAGGACATGCCTCACAACATGAGCAAGCGGGACATGATACGCGCTGCCGACTTTAACTTTGTCAAAGTCATTGGCAAAGGCTCCTTTGGCAAGGTGCTGCTAGCCGAGCGACGTGGCACGGATGAGCTATACGCAGTTAAGGTCCTGCGCAAGGATGTCATCATACAAACGGATGATATGGAGCTGCCCATGAATGAGAAACGCATCTTGGCTCTGTCGGGCAGACCACCTTTCCTGGTAGCCATGCACTCCTGTTTCCAGACCATGGACCGCCTCTTCTTTGTCATGGAGTACTGCAAGGGCGGGGATCTCATGTACCACATGCAGCAATATGGGCGCTTCAAGGAGTCGGTGGCCACGTAAATATTACTACAGCTTGTGCTCTATGCCAGCTTTATCATTCTGTTCCTTAATTAGTTTTTATGCCGTCGAAATTGCCATCGCTTTGTTTTTCCTCCATGAGCACGATGTTATCTATCGCGATCTCAAGCTCGATAACGTCCTGCTGGATGCAGAGGGTCATGTTAAGCTGGTAGACTTCGGTCTTAGCAAGGAAGGCGTCAGCGATCGAGATACCACGCGCACCTTCTGCGGCACACCCAACTACATGGCCCCAGAGGTACGAGACATCCCACTTTCCTTGATAGATCCTTTACTAAGCATGCATTTAGATTGTTAGCTATGATCCTTATTCCTCGACTGCTGATTGGTGGTCCTATGGCGTGCTGCTCTACGAGCTGATGGCGGGCCAGGCTCCATTCGAGGGCGACGATGATTCAACAATCTTCCGCAATATCAAGGACAAGAAAGCTATTTTTCCCAAGCACTTCTCGCAGGAAGCCATGGATATTATAACAAGCGTAAGAGCTAATAGAATAGATATTCATAATTTACTTACTATTACTTACTATTTTCAAAAGTTTCTGGCCAAGAAGCCCAACAATCGTTTGGGTGCGGGTCGCTATGCCAGGCAGGAGATCACAACGCATCCCTTCTTTCGCCACATCGATTGGGACAAGGCGGAAGCATGCGAAATGGAGCCACCCATTGTGCCCAGAATTGTGGGTATTTAAAATATTAACTGAGCTTTTAACTAAATTGCATATTTCTAGAAACATCGCAAGGACATCAGCAACTTTGATGAAGCTTTTACCAAGGAGAAAACGGATTTAACTCCTACCGATAAGCTTTTCATGATGAATTTGGATCAAAATGATTTTATTGGTTTTTCATTTATGAATCCCGAGTTTATAACCATTATCTAAGCTTAAAAGCTATTTTGAGCTGATACAGACTTTCAGTCAATAAAGCTTAATAAAATATAATAAATGCTAAAGCTCGCACTATTACAAACTGCTGTAAAGCTCTGTATAACACATTGACAGAGCTTTAAGCTTGATACAGCTCCTTAACATAGGGTTAACATTTAAGAGAGAGCTTTGCTCTCTTTGTGGAATTGTCTAATTAGGTTTTTACGGACCCAGATAGTAAACGAAAATAAGCCCGCACTCCCGGACGAGCTGCCTCTGAATAGAGTCGTTGTCGTCGCCCAGTCAAGCTGGCTCAGGTGAAAGCTAACCGTGGGTACGCGCCTCCCCTGAACTTTAACCTTCAAAAGGGGAAGTTAAGGCGTATGAAAGTTGTCAGGGGAATTGCCGCTGGTCACGAGAAACTCACCGCGCATCTTACAAGATGTTCAACTGACTGGCAAGAAGACCTTTGCGTATACGTAATGTTGTGTTAGCTTATGTTACGCGTACGCCGCGTTGACAATCGCAAGCACTTGGCTAATTGACTGAGCTGCTGTTAAGTGATGAACTGCCTACCTGCCTGTCTGCTTGACTGCCTGTCTGCCTGTACACGCCAATTTGACAGCAGCTGTCAAGTCTCATTTCATTTGAGGCCTAACTTGTTGCTCTTGCTCCTCGGTCAGGCGACGTTCACACAGCTCGACAATTAGCCGAGCAATATTGAATTCATTTCGCACTTGCCTATTTGGGCCCCTCGAAATTGCGAGCCGCGCGCTCAGCTGTAAAATTTCTCGCAAATTGTTTTCGGCTACCCTCAGCTCTCACACACGCACAAATGCCTTCTGCTTTATTGTGGGTTTTTTACTTGTAAACTATGGCAGCTGCGTGGTTTTATATAGCATAGTCGACCCTGCCGCAAATTTTGTTTATGGGGCGTGCCCGCAAATAGTTTTTGGGCATGGCCAAATATTTTCTCTTTCTCGGACATTTTAATACAAATTCCATAACACAAACGATCCTGCACAAGGAAGGCCAAGCATTTGAAATTGCGCCAAAAGCCAATAAACGTGGCGTGACGCCCCCGTTAGCTTGGCAGCCATTTGACAGGCAGTTAGTTCTATGCAGCTTGATTGAAGGTCCTTCAGTTTTATTAATGGGTTCGTAACGTTCAGGCCGTAAATTAAGTTGAAGAAAATTAGGTATATAATAAAAGTTGATGTGCTCAGCGGAATTATCAGGGTTTGCTTGCTGTCTAACATTCCTAATATATGTAAAGGACTTGAAGAAGCCACAAGGTTATGATGGGTTTGAATATACGTAAATAATGTTTAAAGGGTATATTAGCTTCAAATATAGACTATAAATATAATTATATGCGTGTTGTTTTTAGGTGTGCTTAAAACTTATGTTTAAAAAGTCTTTGTCATTCTGTTTCTGATACTTGATTAGGCAGCTAAAAGAATCGATTGTAATTATTTTTTGTATTAGGATAAACTAGAAATAAAAATTGTTTTACTATCTTCACATCAAGGCTTATTACTCTATCGCTAATCCAGAAATCATTATATAATATTACAAGCCCCATCCATTTCTTCAATACAGCTCAATAAAAATAAAAAATATATATAGAAAAAATTCAATTTGAATTTGAAACACTTGTTAGAGTATCTAAACTTCGAATTGCGCACATTAATAGGTGTTCATTTTTCTTTTATTTTCCGCATCGACGCCTGACTTGAAAGCTGTTTGCACTCTATTAGTGGCAATTTGCAGTTTTACGTGGACTTTTCGATGGCAGCGTTTGGGTAACTGGTTGCGTTTCAATGTCCTTTGGCTGCACATTGTCCTTGCTGCCATTTCCTGCCGTTTGCTGGCAACGCAAGCCGCAGCATGTGACTGCCTTCCACTCGGCAGTCGCTGGAACAACACTACGCATTAGGATGTACCAAAGTGCTTAACCGAACATAAATAATAGCACAGCGCATGCAGACACTGAGCCATTGTGAAGTGTACTAGGTGTTCCGGTGACTGTGGCAACCGGCTAGTGGCAAGTGGCAAATGGCAAGTGGCAAGTGGCAAGCGAAAGCTGTTGCGCAACAAAAAAAAAAAAAAAACAAAAAAAGAGAAGAAAGCATGCAGACCACGCCTCAATGTGGCATCGCCCACCCAGCTTTACAGGTCTCAGCTGATGTGGCTAATGAAGCCTTGACCTGCCGGAAGATAAATGTGTAAAATAGATTGAATGCGAATACTCCACGTTCAGACTATCGCATATAAATCAGCTTACAACGATTTCCTCCATTCTGAACGAGACTTGGGCATAAACCACAATTAGGAGCTTAGCCCCTGTGACAAGTGACAGTCTTACTCCAATCCCAGTTTCTGTTAAGGGTTAGCGAAACTAAAATACTCTAACAAAGCTGACTTTGAAGATCAGAAAAAGACACAGGGGTGATTAATGGCTTAATGCAAATACCAAGAGCTAGAAACGGAATTTGTGAGCTGTCTAGAAAAAGTAAGTAAGTATGAAAACAAATTGTATATGCAGATCGCAACCATAAAACATCTTCAACAAATCTTCTAAGTAATTGAATGAGATTAAAAAAATTGGAATTGATGAGTTTTTGAATACTTAAAGATATTTTGCTTGATGATTGATTGATTGACTGACGATAGATAAATAAATAGCCCAAACTCTTTCCAGGTATTGGGTATTGATTGGGTTACATTTTAATATAGTTAATACGCTGAGCTGGAACTAGGTATTCTGGATAATTGGCTGAATAGCAGTAGCCCAAACAGTAAGCACGTGAGTGTGAAATTTGAAAGCCAATCTTAAAGTAAAATGAAAATGAATTTTATAATAAAATTTTCTAATATATAAACTTTCTTCTATATATAATACCATGGCCCTTTGACTCTCATTCGATATTCAAGCTACTTGGCTTTCAGTAAGCGTATAAATAGAGCAATGTTTATTTTCAGTAGGGATAATATTTTCATGCATAACAAGACTTTTCCTAGAAAATCTCATGATCTTAAATGAAAAACTGCTTCGGGCATGTTAAAGCCAACGTTGTCTATTTTTTTATGTTGCTTTGCGTTCTGTTTTGGTTACTTGACAAATAAATATGCGCATTTTAGTTTTTTCATTTTATACATTCATATATACATACCTTTATATGCATATAGAGCTTTGGTATATGTGCTTTTGACAGGCAGCGGAGGGATATGCAAATCGCTGCGCTCCATTGGCGGCAGCAGCGAAGCCTGTCGCGAATCCTGGCTTAAAAGTTGAAGCGCTGCACTCAACAAATTGCCAAATGCAACTGGCTGGTATGGAAGCTGGCTGGCAGGCAGGCAGGCAAGCGAGCAACAACAGTGAAAGGATAAAGGCAAACAAGGACACACGGCAACAGTTTGTTTGTCAAAGTGTTGAAAAGCGCGCGCGCCTGAGGGAGCCCAAAAGAGTGGCAGGTGCATAGACAAAAACAAAAAGAAGCATGCTTGCATAGCGAATGAGGGGCGAAGAGATGAGCGACGTGACACTTTAAATATTTAGGCAGCCTTTAAAGGCCCCAAAACAGTAACAGCAACAACAACCACAACAACAACAAGACGAACAGCAAGGGACATCCCAAGTAATGGCTGTAGCTGAAGCCCATGAAATTAACTCACTAGGATCAAGGCTTCATTGTCGCAAGGACACATTGAATCGAGTCAACTGCTAATTCTAGGCTATATATTTTGTGGCAATGTACATGGAGAGAGAGGGAGAGAGATACGCTTGTCACTGGCTGCCTATCAGCAGCTCATAAAAGCAAACAGGGAAAGGAAGAGAGAAGAAAAGACAAGCAGTCTGTGGCTACGGACAGGCCGGGTGCTCATGCGGAAACGGAAGTGACAGTGTATGAAAAAGATGGACGTCAGCAGACGACAGCCGAAGCGGGGAGTCAGAGGCACACAGTGCCTGTATCGTGGCATTGCGCATGGACATGAATAAGAAACAATTCTTATCGCTATCGTTTGCCGGCAACGACCTGACAAAATTTCATGCATAAATATCTAAATAACTTTACAGAGGACAAGTTGCCCAGCTAGGCATACAATGCCCGAACAGCAAGGGCAGCACCTAACACAAAAATAAAAAATAAATAAATAAAACACCTTCACATAGCTAGCTATCTAGATCACAGGAACGTCTAAGAAAATAAATATAAAAATCAATTATAATGTATATATAGCTATAGCTATTGTATATGAATAATAAGAAAATAAATACAATTTTATGAATTGAAATCAAAAAATCAAATTAATTTTTTAAAAAGAATTGCTACAGTAGAATCACAAATTTTATATTTATGAAAATAATTTTTTTGACTATTTTATTATTTTATTTTCAATATTTTACTTTTTCAACTTAGTTGATTTAATATATACAATTTAATTCAATAATTTCTAAATTTCTAATTTTAATCAAAATTAGTTTGTAATTAATAAAAATTATTTACTAAAAATCGTTGCAGGTAAAAAATGTATATATAAAAATATTTTTTTTTGGTTATTTTATGATTTTTTTTTTAATATTTTTATTTTCAATATTTCACCTTAGTTGATTCAATATGTACAATTTATTTGAATACTTATTATATAAATAATAATTTTTAAATTTATAATTTCAGCCTTAATTCGCTTGTTATTAACAAAAAGTTAGTTAGAAAAATAGCTTTATAAGATCTGAAGCGTTTCCTCTATGCATTGAATTGGCATTTTTATTGAGTTACTCAACTGAAATGGCCAAAAATAAAATTATGAGCAGGCTATAAAAAATGTGGACCACACAGCTTACGCACTATTTTGGGCTATTTCATTTTTTTTAGGCTCGTTAAAATGAAATTTTTGCTTTTTATGCTTTTCATATTGCGGACTTTCTTTGGTTGCTTTTTTATTCAGCCCAGCTTAGACGTGGCAAATGCGACACGTGTCGAAATATTATGCAAATAGACACAAGGAATCAGGATTCTTTGGAA